AAAAACTGTGCGATCTGATACATCAAGCTCATTGCAGATGGTTGTTCTCCTCTCCCACCTCCAAGCCAGGGGAGAGTAAATCAGTCTGGAGGAAATAAATACACACTTATTACGTTCTACGTGCTGCATACATTCACCTCTGTAATGTATTGCAGCGTTCGGTGTGGTGCATGCTGGGGTGAAAAATGAGAATGCAGAGGCACTGCAGAAAGAAAAAAAGGATGTATAGTGAGACAGAGCTTGGTTGCTACTATATATATATAACTATAGTATCTTTATAACGATAAATAACACTGGTAACAAGAATTCGTCCCATTACCAGAATTCATGTCCCAGAAATTGCCTCATTTTTTGAAATGAAAATGCCTTAGCTGTATGTGTAAAACCAGCATAAAAAGCGTGGCGCAGCTTCATGTACAGTAGCGAATGGCTGGTTCCATCTGTACTGCACAAATGAAAATGTAAATTCATGGAAGAGCCTGCAAAGCTGACACATGTCAGTGGCAAATAAAGCTGAAAACCACTGAGAAGCACACATTACTCTTGCAAAGCACAAAATATTTGCCAAAAGAATGCATTTGTAAGTTAAATTAAATAAATTAAACACTTTACAATAAGGCTTGTTAACATTGGTTAATGCATTAGGTATGAACTAACAATAAACAGATTTATAAACAGAAATTAGTTGATTTCTGCATATTCGCATTTAACAAGTTGTATAAATGGTATATTTGTAGCTGATTGCCGATGCACTAAAAATACATTAACTAATTTTTTAAGTGTCCTCTTTTGTGAAAAGCACAATATTGTGCTTTATTCATAATCATACATTCTGGCTTTTACTGATTTGTACTACGAACAATATAGTTAATAAAGCGCACGCTGGGGTGAAAAATGAGAATGCAGAGGCACTGCAGAAAGAAAAAAAGGATGTATAGTGAGACAGAGCTTGGTTGCTACACACTAAGGTAATGATGTGGGACTTTAACACAGTAATGAATGACTATAGATGTACATTTACAAAAACCAGCATCGGCTTTATTAAGGTGACCATACATCTTCTTTTTCCTGGACGCACCCTTCTTTTTGGACCTGACCGGGATTTCTAAATTGTCAAAATGTCTGGGATTTGTTTCAATATTGAAATGCTCTCCATAGTTTTTATACATTCTATGTACACATATTAGCATTGCTTTTACAGTTCTCTGTAGATCACGCCTTCTCGTATGCCACAATTGGTTGATTATGTCCAATGCTTGCATGCTATTGGTCAAACTACTTTTCTATCAGCAAATATGCTTGTATTAACGGATTATAACATTTACAAATAAAATCATAAAATTCATTGCTTGAAAAACATTAAGTGAAATAATATATATATATACACACACATATATACATATACATACATACATACATATATATATATATATA